TGGTGGTGGATTTCTTTTTATCTAAATGTGAGAATTGGTATGTCATTTTCTTCGTGCAGTTATCAAGCTGATAGTGAGGTTCATGATCAAAGACATATATTTCCCCTCCCAAGAATCTGTCCAAGTTGTATCTGGTAACCAAGGAATATTAAATATGTGTTACAATGGAGTACGTAGGATTTAGGATTTTCTTCTAAATAAAAAAATTCAATAAGATGACTACTTAACTTTCAAGTGCAAGTTGTAAATTGCGTTTATGACGAATGTCTAATCAGTGCATTGTAGTCAAGGTGGCACACAGAAGTTTTCCTGAGTGTCAAAATTTCCAGTCCCAAATAATTATATGGGAAAAGAAAAAGATTCATATTAGCTGACACCAGCTAGCTCTTTAAAAACAACTTTAGAACTTTTACTCCCATTGGCAAGGGCTGTTGTAGCCTATCTTGATGCGACAGTAATTTCACACACCCTCAACTTCTGTAAAACAGGGGTAACCATTTCAATTCGTTGTTTTCAGATTTATAGGAAAGGTGGAGCTCAGAACTGCAATAGCCTTCACATTCACTCCATTTCAGTCACTTGTTTCAGTGGCCGGGCTCAGGATTCAGAGCTGCTCCATTTGAAAATCTGAAACCTCGATATCCCTCTCCTGCCTAGACCCTCCTTACCTTTGAGCGCCCTTGCTACTTATTCTGGTCACACCTGTTATCTTTTCCCCTTCAGTGAGATCTCCAGTTTCTTCCCTTCCCAGTTTTTCATCTCCATACCCTAAATTTCTTTTTTTTTTCTACCCTTGATTCCCTTGCATTCTTACCGTTTATCAGCTTCTGCTGAACAAACTCTAACACGAAATTGTGTAATAATTGCCATCCTTTTCTCCTACACTCACGCAGGTGAATACTGCAGGAGGAAAATAAATAAAAATCACAACAATATTAATTAGCATTTATCAAGTACTTGCTCCATGAAGACGCCATTCTAAGTGTTTTCCATGTGTGATCTCTTTTCATTCTTGCTAACCATGAGGGGGAGCCCTGGTGGCGCAGTGGTTAAAAGCTGGGCTGCTAACCAAAAGGTCAGTAGTTTGAATCTACCAGCTGCTCCTTGGAAACCCGGTGGGCACTTCTACTCTGTCCAATAGGGTTGCTGTGAGTCGGAATTGACTCGACGGCAATGGGTTTGGTTTTGTTTAACCACGAGAGAGATTTGTGCCTATTTTACAGGCAAGAAAACTGTTTTGTAGAGGTTAAGTAAGTTGCCCAAAGCATTATATAAAATCAAGGACACCATGAATTGTAGACATCCTGTTATTTAAAAAAAAAAGAAGAAAAGAAAGAAAGAAAAGAAAACACAGCAATTCTAACTGCAAGATGTCATCAGTTGAAAGATACATCTTGATTTCAGTGGTGTTAAATGTAAAAAAAACTTGCGTCTTAGAATCAATGAAATATGACACGTAGGGAAGGCATGGTTCAAATCCAGGCAGTTTGGATCCAGAACACAATAAAGTCTTCATCATTATGCTGTTCTACCTCATAAAAACCATACAACCATACAAACTGGTTTATCACAAATTCGTGGTCTCATACTTCAACTGGGCTTTAAGTCCTGTTCTTTGGCTTTTAAGTTCTCTCTCTCTTTCCCTTTTCTCCTCCTAGTCTCTCTCTTCTCTCTCAACTCTCCTCTCTCCTCTCTCCTCTGTCCTTCCTCTCTTCCTCCTTTCCATGATTATGCCAAAGTTTTTTATTCTTCTTCAGCTCTCTGGTGGAGACCTGGTGGCGCAGTGGTTAAGAAATGTGCTTCATAGAGTTATCAATGGCTGATTTTTTGGAAGTAGATCACCAGATCTTTCTTCTGAGGTATCTCTGGGTGAACTCAAACCTCCAACCTTTCAGTTAGCAGCCAAGAACATTAACCATTTGCACCCCCCGGGACTCCACCTGACACATAAAAAACCCAAACCCAAACCCGTTGCTGTCGAGTTGATTTTGACACATAACGCCCCTTTGAAAATAAACTAAGCCCTGTATGAATTGGAATATACTTGGTGGCAACTGGTACTGGTATATGATGATCTTTTCACAGATAATATAACTATCATCATGTCCAAAACCAGATTTAAATTCTCACGTCCATACCTCTGTTCTACCTTCTCTATCTCCACTCCCTTTCCTTGACCTTGCTCTCCAGAAGATTGAACTGCTGGAGGAGCTCCCTCTGTGCTTTTGCTCATGTTGTCCCCTCTGCCTGGAGGAAATCCCCCCTCCTTTGGCGCCAGGACACTTACATAATTCCTCCTTCTTCAGGCAGTTCAGGAGTCACCTCCTCCAAGATACTTTCTCTGCCCCCTCCTGCCTGCTTGCCCTCCTCGGAGTTCTGTCATACCAGTCTCTATCTCTGTGTTCACACTGTGTTAAAATGCCCTGTTTCTCTGATGTTCTTCAAAAGACGCTGAGCTCCTTGAAGGTTGCAGTTGCGTCAGGCAGGAAGCAACTACAAGACCTCACCTGTGTGATATTTTCCCACATCCCCAGGGGTAAATCGAAGCAGGCGTTAATATGCTCAGTTCACAGATGGAGAAACTGAAGTGCACTCCTAGTTTCACAGCCGGAGGAAAAGCCCAGCAGCCCTTAGGATTTCTCTGCAGAGTTTCTCCTTCTTATCGCTTGGGGAGCCGGCCGATTTTCCACTGTTCGGTAAACCTTGCTCTCAGCCTGGGTGCCTCCCTGTGCCCCTCTGGAAGGTAACCATGGATACTATTGAGCTGGCACAAAAGCTTTCAGTTAATGGAGACTACAAGTGGTTTTCAGGATGCTTAGAAGGTTTGGAGGGTAGGAGCAAAACTAGAAACACTTGCATAGAAGGGACTTTTGCCTCAGGCCCCTAGGCTGGGTGTGTTTCAATTACAGTGGAAGCTAATATTCAGCAGACTACCCCCCCCCCAACCCCCGCCTTGATAAGACTAACCAGGTACTAGGATATTCACCAGCTCTGAGGAGAATATCAAAGGGAATCCCCGCTTCCACTTCTCTGGAAAGCAGGGACCGCACTGTGAAATCAACCCGAGCTCTGAGGTAATTCAGGGCGCAAAGTCTGAGGATAACGGGGTCCACTGGCCGCAGTCAGAGGGAGCTTCTAGCAGCTCCATCTTCCCATCCACATCCCCGCTCAGGGGTGTTTTTCTTTTCCCAGCCCCGTGCCACCGTCTGGCAAGATAAGTTCATAACCAGACTATCTCGGAGAAGAACCTTATTTCCTTGGGGACCTTGGGGACCGCCGGGAGGGCGCCCATTTCCCTCCTGCCACCTCAGGAGTCCTGGGTCTTCCTTCACATTCCTTTATTCTCAAACTAGGCACACCTAGAGAACAGGAACTGGGGAGCCCCTTTTACGCCTAGACCCGCTCGGGGGCGTGTCCAAAGTTTGCAGCTCCGGGGACAGCTCCCCGCCCAGGAGGTAGGACGGGGAAGCCCAATCACACAAAGGCTCAATTCTGTCTGGCGGAGACTGTCTGTGGGTCAGGGTCCAGGAGGGTGTGTGCGGGCTCCAGAGTCGAAATTCTCGAGGGAAGGAGGGAAGAGGAGGAGCGGGAGATGGACTTTGGGGGCGAAGAGTGGCAGCAGTTTTCCTAGCGGTTTGACGTAAATTTGAAGAGGCGCCGAACACTCCCACTGCTTAAGAAGAGGCAGTGTAGCCTTCAGGACTCGGAAGCTGGGGACAGTCACACACTCAGGAAGCAGCCTGGACATTTCCTCTCCACGCCCTCGAGGAACCCCGAGAGGGTTGGGCAGGTAAGTGCGGGGGGCGGCGGGGAGGGTGGCCCCCTTTCTGCGTCCTGGGAACAGAGCCTCAGAGTATGGAAGCGAGTGGGACACAAGGACAGAGCAGGTCCCAGGAAGCTCCACCTGGAGAAGAGTGAGGAGGCAGGACCAGGTGCGGGTTGGAGACGCGCCGAGCACAGCGTGAGGACCGTAGCGGGGCGCCCAGAGGACGCAGGCTGGGAAAGACTCTGAAGAGCAGGGTGCCTAAAGGAGTTAATATGAGCGCTGTGGCGCGAGCAGGCAGGGACCGCAGGAGTTCTGGAGAGCGCCAACTTCAGCACCACAGACAGCGCCCCTCCCTCTGCCTTCAGATAAGCTTAGCGCTAACAGCTCGAAGTTGTCCCCTAAGGCAAAAATAACTTTTGGGGTCCTTCGACTTTGATATTTTAATTCAAAAGAGGATACACTCAATATATTTTTGTTCAGGTAGATATCATATATCAGTGATTTGAAATGTAGAGGAAATATTTTCGAATAGTCTTTGTCTCTCAAACCTGCCCCTTCAGAATAGGAACGTGCAAGTTCAAAGACAGAGTTCCTGAAATCTCGATTTGACCATGCGTAAACACGACCTGCTGCTGTGAAGAAGAGAAAGATACCATATCGCAGTGTGATCATTAAATGTTCCAATGTAGAAGTATTCCCCTGAGAATTCACATGAGCTGTGCCTTGCCTACTTTGATGATAATACTAGTGATGTCTAAAAAGTTTGAATACATAAAAAGGAAAGTGAGGTCTAAATGCACCTCCTCTATTTTTTCTTTCTGTAAGAGTTGTTTAAATGTAATATACATTTTTGTATAGTCTGTGAGAAATTAGATAAGCTTTTTCTGGAAAAAAGGAAAATTCAGGCTACTATTAATTTAAGAGCATTATTTCTCATTGCACTTGTCTGAGGTGGTAATAAGAATCATTCCAAAGTCGTTTGTGGATGCCTTGATTTTATTGCAACGGGCACTAAAAGCCAGAAAATTTGAATGAGTGGCAAATAATTTCTTTAAAATACTTGAGATTTATAGCAAGAAAAGAGAAATTGAGAAAATATAGTCTGGATGAAAACTACATCAGAATTGCAGAATATTTTTTAGGAGTTTGCAAGTGTCTACTGATTCTGCTCTAATAAATTGAATATACATCCCTCAGTTCCCACATATATTCGCCCATGTTTTTAGCACACTGTCTTGTGTTGATTTTTATTTATAACATTTTACAACTCTGATACCTTTTTAAAAATTAAAAGTCTTCCTAAATAGGAAAGCATCCAAGGGTAAAAAATATTCACATTCTTAAATGCATGAGAGTCCTGGATTAGGATAGGAGGCTTAATTAGGATATTGTAGAAGTAAAGCTATGGAGCAAGATTTTTTTTTCACTTATACTCTTTTAAATCTATATTACTTTGCATATGGGAAAAGCAAGTTTACTTATTCATGTTACAAAGGAGCACAGCTTAGAAATGGATATTTCTTAACCTAAATACCATGTCTTTTTTTTTTTTTTACAAGCTAGTCAGGTAATGAGTCATTCTAAATAGAATGCCGCTTATGATACGGAAGATGGGATAAGGCCTTTCTTACTTTAGAGACCGGTGGGTTTCCTTTGCTGGTACCAAGGTTCTTAAGGTCAAAATTATTTTCTGTACTGAGTGTAGTAAATACAGGAACTCATGTGAAGTATTTCCATCCTGTGCAGCTTCAGGGCATGGCTGATTCTGGGAGAAGAGGAAGGATTCATCGCCCCCTGAACCTCATCTGTTCCCTGCTTATTGTGGGAATATGCTGTGTGTCTCCTTTCTTCTGTCATAGCCAGACAGACCTGCTGGCTCTTAACCAAGTTGATCATCAGTGCTGGGAATCCTCTTCAGTGCTCCTCTTGGAAATGTGGAAGCCTCGCATTTCCAGCACTGTTTCAGGCTTCTGGGATTTTATGATCTACCTGAAGTCATCTGAGAACTTGAAGCATGGGGCACTGTTTTGGGATCTGGCCCAACTCTTCTGGGACATTTATGTGGACTGCGTCCTCTCCAGGAACCATGGCTTAGGAAGGAGGCAATTGGCTGGAAAGGAAGAGAGAATCCCAGCAGCACATTCAGGGCACACAAGGAGTAAACAAGGTGGTCAACCTCAGGTCCTATGTCTTTTGAAAGTGTCATTCAAGTATGAATGTACTGAATTGTAATAAAGAGGGAAAGGGGAATTCATTGCTACATACATACTTCTCAAGGGGTGAAACTCCAGAGCACCCAAGTGATAGGAAGGTAGATAGCATTTCCTTTTGCATTCCATGGTAACTGTATTTATTAATATATTATCCTCATCCCCACACTTCATGTGAACAAAAGCCAGAGAGAGCCTGAAAGACAAGTAAGGAAAAGCATGATTCCCAAAATACATCATAAAAGCATAAAAGGATGCCCCCAAATTAACACTTTTTCCACATCAGTCTGAAGATTGAGTTAGGACCTGACCATTCATTTGCCGTGGAACTGGGGAGAATTGAATGTTAGCCTAGGGAGCATTCACAACACACAATTTCTTGCTCCCTTTAAACTTGAAAAACAAAACAAAAACACTACTTTCATGTAAATGGAGGGGCTACTTGAGAGGTACTTAGTTCATGAAATAAAGAACAGAAAAATCAACTGGCATGCAAATTCACTCCCTGTTGCTTTTTGCACAGATCTCAAATAAGTAATTGACTTCCAGCTGAGTAATTAATTTTTGTATCAATTTAGATATTTTCACTGAAGTATATATTAAACTCACACACAGTCTTATCAGGGGTACTAGAAGAAATATCCCTCATAGAATTAAAGTAAGGTTGAGTGAGTCCTGTAAGTAGAGATATGCCTTAGCCCTATTCATATTATATTGTTTCTTTTTTGATGTCATTTCAACCAATGAGTTTCCAAACCTTACAGCAAGGGCTGTATAGGATGGCAGTAACTTTTAGGATTCCCTATGTATCAGAAAAAAACTGGGGCATAACTAATCTTTGCATTTGTACATTATGAGAATTGTAATATATTCATATAATACCTCTATTAAAATATTAACCATAATAGTTCAAGCTTAATCCTTTCCTAAGATATTATACCAAAAACTAGTTGCCATTGAGTTGATTCCCACTCATGGTGACCCCCGTAGCCTTACATATTTAGTTAGTTTTAACCTCAGTAACTAAAAATTCTCATAATTTACTGATCTATAAAACCAGACAATCCACGGCTATTATTAATAGATAAATTTATTTTATCAAGTATTATGGTGACTTAGACCAATTTCCTTTTTTTTAGAGAAAATATTCTTCTAGCAGTTTTAGCTACTAAAGTAGAAATAGAAAATAGGTATTTGAAATGTTGGTTACAAATATTTAAAATCTTTTTTGAATGGAGACTGCCCAGATGTCAGCATCAGTAAGGACAATGCATTTTATTCATCTGCATTGCTAAGGGTGGTCAGTGGGCCCTTTCTTCCATTCTTATCAGATTAGCTGTTGTACTAAAATTAATACCAATTTTTTCCTCACTTTGCACCCATTTTAAATAACTCTAATAAATGTGTACAGAATGAATGAACATAATATTATTTGGGTTTAGCTGAACATAAACAGAAAATTGTAATTAAATTTGTTCTATCACTTAAAGATATATACATCTATCTCTAAAACAGCTTTCGGTTCACTTGCTCACAGCAATGGTGTCAGAATAGTCTGAGGCTACATGTAGCTTTTGAAGCATGTTGCAACATGGCATTTCTATCTTCTTTTGGAAAAAAAAGTAGTAGTTTATCTTCAGCTTTGGAAGCTACTTCCTTCACCTTGCTGCAGAGTTGCTATTGACTCAGCTGGTCTGTAAACTTCAGCTGGAGATGCTATGCAAGTAGCAGGAGTGAACATTTCACTATACTGAAGTTATTTTAACGTTTGAAGAAAAGTATTGTTTACAGCTAAGGAAACAAGACTTTCCATTTGGATTGTATAATCACAGTCAAAGCGGGTCTTGGGTCAAGGAGACACCATGTCCAAAAGTTAAATAGTTACAGGAACATCGAGATTTCATCTCAAGAGGCTTGATAAAGTCTCTGGTGGATCAAATAGGCTCTGGATGTACCTGCATGTATCTTCTGCTAATTTTTTCTTTTATCGCTGGGGAATTAATATGCTGCCAAGTTGGGATGGGGGTGAGGGTGAAGAGGTGCTTGTTCCTATAGTTTTTAGCAAAATCACATCATCAGGGCAGAAGAGGAGAATTAAAATAAGTGTCTACAAAGTAAGCAAAAACTTCTTGTTATTTTTGATGTCTTCAAATCAAAGTTTAAATACACTTAAAAAAATCTTGCTATGAATCATGCTTTGTTAGAACCATATAACTCCCATATAGTTTTGAATGTTAATAGATCATATTTGTTAATACTGGGTCAACAAATGTGAAAACAAAAGATATCAAATAGCTATGTAACCTTCGGCAAGTTAATTGATTTATCTAGCCCCTTAGTTTCTTAGTCTGAAAAAGAGGGGTGTGGAAAGAATTAGATGACCCATAAAGGTTCTTCATGTTCTCTGGTTCTCTAAAAAAAAATGTACAGAAAGCACGTACTTAACTGTGGAAAGAATTGGGAAGGGGTTTACCCCAAGGACCGCCGACACTGCTGGCGCGTGATCTGGGCACTGTGGTTGTTTATACGAATGATGAGTGGGAACAGAGGCAGTCCAGAAATGAAAGTTCCAAGGAATCTGAGGGCTAGATGTGTCATTATTTCAGAAAAGGCTCAAAAGATCATTGCTATTTAGTCTAGATACCAATGATTGTGAGGATGGGGCAGAACCAGCAACATTTGGTTCTGTTATACATAAGGTTACCATGAGTCAGAGCTGACTTGACATAACTAACAACATTTAGTCTAAGATATATATGTGCTAATAACTGAATACTGAACTACCTGGAAAAGTGTGAAGAGGATGTACCCAAGCTCAGCCACTAAATTCTGATGGATTGTGTCAAGAAAGAGAAATAGAGTGAGGAAGAGATGAGATAGAGATTGGTTGATTGATTTAGGGAAAGAGGAAGCTGATGATAACTCCCAAAGAGAAAAATAACAGAATTCATTTTAACTCATGGGCTAATATAGAAGCTTCAATGCAAATGAAGACCTTTTGAGATACACCTTGTTTATGTCAGAAATGATGGCCCCTTCTTTCAATAAATCTTGCTCTACTACTGAGAAAGACAGAAAAACCTGCCTTTCTGGGCCTGGAAGTTTGTACGTTCCAGAAAAATTGTGAGTTTTTTCTTACATTATGAGAAAATTAAAATTTGGATTTATAATTTGATGGTGTTTGCCGTTGATGTCTAACTAATCAGTAAATGTTCTTGGTGTTTGTTTTTTAAACACTAAGCACAAGAGAAAATGATTGAGAAATATAAGTAGTTAAACTCACAAATGTTTAATTTCCTACTTTACTAACTCCAGGAAATTTCTTAAGCAACATACTCAGCAATTACCCATCTAGAAATCTATTCTAAGGATCACTCAGAGATATAGCCAAGGCTCCTCATCACAGCATTATTTAATAGAAATTATAAATTCGTAATTTATAATTAGCATGTAATTAGTAATTAGTATATAATTACTAACTATAGTAATAAAAATAGTTATTGTTATTAGTTGTTGAGTCAATTCTAACTCATTGTGACCCCATGTGCTACAAAGTAGCACTGCTTCATAGGGTTTTCTTGATTGTAAACTTAGCAAAAGCAGATCACCAGGACTTTTCTTCCATGGTACCATTGGGTATAGTTTTAGTAATAAAAAACTCAACCCATTGCCATTGAGTCGATTACGACTCATAGCGATCCTGTAGTAGAACTGCCCTGTAGGGTTTTCCAAGGAGCGGCTGGTGGATTTGAACTGCTGACAATTTTGGTTAGCAGCAGAGCTCTTAACCATAGTATAGTATTAACAATTAGTAATAGAAAATTGGAAATAGCCTAAATGTCCCACAATAGGGTAATAGTTAAATAAATCATGTTATAAAGTGTGTGTGTATAAAACTATGGTTATCTCTGGAATTATTATGTTATGGATGGTTTAAACTTTTTTCTTTATATCTATATATTAAATTATATAAAGGCTTTTTTATTACTTTGTTATCAAAAATATTTTAATGCATATTTAGTTAATAAGGAAATTTTATTTATTATAGTTTATTTCATTTAGATTATATAATTAAATTGCAGAAATCACAAAACTTTGCATAAGCACAAATTTACATATATACTGCTGCAATACATTTAACATAATTTTGATAGTAGAGTGGCAAAGACATCAAATTTTCTTTTTAAAGCCATTGATTGGTATTTCATTAACCTGAAAATAATTAGGTGAACTAATGATTAGTTCCTTTTTTCTACTTTCAGGTTCGTATTCTCAGCTTCTAAGAACACCTTTCCTAAAGAAGAAAAAGTTGGTTGAAGATTTGATAAACATGTATGTGCCCAGGAGTGGGTCTAGGTTCATTGGAAAAGTGACCAGTGGCCTGAGAATAAAGAGAAAATAAATCACGCCTTTGAATTAAAAAAAAAATATATGTATACATATATGTATATATACTTATATATATGTATACAGGTATATACACATACACATATCTTTTTTTTCCTTGACAATCGATCATTTATTTATTTTAAATGGTGGAATGTCCAGAGATAAATATTAAGCCAAATTCTCTCAAGATTACTTATTTACAAGCTTCATTCATTTAGGCTTCTAGCATGTTCCTTCAAATGGTGACATTACTGCCAGATCTTCCCACTAAGAGTTAAAATAGCCTCCAAAGATGGCCTTGGGATTGGGAGATGCTGGTTCTTTGAATTGTTTTTGATATTTTGTTTTGGAATGCTTGACACTGTTAATGAACTAGAGTGCTATACATTTAACTTGAATACACTGCATGACTTCCAAGCCATTAACCACCGGATCGCTTATGCATAGGCTACAAGGGACTATATTTACTCATTACTAGTTACCAATGGTCTGTGATACCTGAATCTTGTCTGAAAGAATATTTTGAACACTGAGTGAAGCAAAAAACAAAACAAAGCAAAACACTAAAAATGCCTAGAAATCATTCTTCTAACGGAAGCAAAATTAATAAAAGCTCTGGACCTCAAGCAATGTTATTTTCCATTGGAGTCTTTTTATTTCTATTGAATGCTATCATTAATGATAATCCAAACGCTAATAAAATAGTGGTAAGTATAAACTTATTTCCTAATTAGGATATTTGCTATTTTGTTAAATATTAAAACTCTACAAGTGGGTACATTTTGCATTGAAAAGCAAAATAAACCTCAAGTGAAGCATTTTAAGAAGAAAGAATTTCCCCTGAAAGGTGACCAGGCCTGAATGAGATTCATATCATAGCAGGGAAGTCCAATTAGCAAATTTATTTGAGTCCCAGACACAATGCTAATTTCTAATTACTCCCATCTCTCCAGTCACTGACAACCAGTTTGAATTTCAGAACTGTTAGCAATTCACTTGCTTTTTCCAGGAACAAAGGAAGCCTTAGTAAATGATTTTCCTTAAGGTATAGGGTCCTCCATAAGCTAGGAATCTTATCTAATTGGTTATTATTCACAGTTGCATCTGAGGGTTAGCCAAATCCTAGCCATGAGACACAAGCCTGGGGAAAGGGCTGGGGGAGGTGGACCAGACCCAGCTTTTGGTTGATTGAGAAAATTAGCACATTAAAAAGCTGCCACCTTTTCTCTGAGCACTTTTCTACACCTTCTCATGATTTTGCTTGCACACTGTTTTCTCAAATATCTTGTCATCATATTCTTAAAAGCCATCATATGAGCTCAGTATCTTTTATAAGTTGTGGTAAAGACACCACTTCTGGAGAATGTGCTTGTGAAAGTCCCTGCGCCTTACTCCTCGCTCACCTGGGTACTCTGTAGCAGGGGTTGGCAAACTTTTTCTGTACCTTTTAAGTCAAATAGTAAATATTTGAGGCTTGGTGGGCCTTTCGATCTCCATTGCAATTAATCAAGTCTACCTTTGCAGAACAAAAGCAGCCATACCAAATCTGTTGCCACTGAGTCAATTCCGACTCATAGTGACCCTATAGGAGTAGAACTGCCCCATAGGGTTTCCATGGAGTGGCTGGGGGATTCGAACTGCCGACCTTTTGGTTAGAAGCCGAGCTCTTAATCACTTTGTCACCAGGGGCTCCAAAGCAGACATGGATGATACATAAATGAATGTGCATGGCTCTGTTCCAAGAAAACTTTATTTACAGACCCTGAATTTTGAATCCATATAATTTTCAAGGGTCATGAAATATTCTTCTTCTTTTGATTTATTTTCAATCATTTTAAAAAATTGTAAGCCACTCTTAGCTCACGACCTGTACAAAAATAGGTAGTAGGCAAGATTTGTCCCATGGGCTAGAGTTTGCTGACTCACACTCTAGGGCATGCTTGCAAGGAACAAGTTGGGATGAAGTAAGTAAAAGAGCTTACATGTTGAATGACCGAACAAAAATTAAAAATATGATAGACTGAAAAGAAAATTCAAAATGGTCAGTATGAGATTGAACATGGATAAACTAGCCCTAATCCTATCCAACTGGACATTGTTTCACCTGGAAATAGTAGTAGGAATTATGGATAATATAAATAAAAAACTACAGCCTCTCTGAATGTCACATGGACTGTAGATCAAGACAACAGGTGAAACATCTGAATTATAATAACAGTTATTGAGAGAAAGTATGTAACAGTGGTGAGAATACAGGGTCAGGAGCTGAGTTCAGAGCCCAGCTTCTATCAAGTACTGGCCAAATGACTTTAGACCAACTACTGAACCTCTTTTGTTCCTCAGTTTGCTTATCTATAAAATAAGTATGTATTTTATAGATTTGTTGTATTAAATGAGTTAATACATAAAAAGTGCTTAGAACACTAATACCAAAAAAAACCCATTGCTGTTGAGTCAATTGCAACTCATAGCAACCCTATAGGACCGAGTAAAAGTGCCCTCTAGGGTTTCCAAGGTTGTAATATTTATGGAAGCAGATTGCCACATCTTTCTCCCGCAGAGCAGTTGGTAGGTTTGAACCACAGACCTTTCCGTTAGGAGCCGAGCGCTTAACCATTGCACCACCAGTGCTCCTTAGAACACTAACAGTTCTAAGTAAAAAATGCTAGCTATTACTTTGTACCTTGCTGTTACATATATATAATCTAATCACATACACAGAAAAAGGAAGTACACAAGTACTTTGGCAACACTCATTAGACGTGCAGTTGTTACAGAGGCACACTCATATTTTTAAAACACTTTTGTTTTGAAATAATTGTAGATTCACATGCATTTGTAAGAAACAATACACTTCACTCAATTTTCCCCAATGGTAACATCTTCCATAACAATAGTACAGTATCACAACCAGAAAATTTATATTGATACAATCCACTGAGCTTATTCAGATTTCACCAATCTTCTACGCACTCAATTGTGTGCGTATTTTGTTCTATGCAATTTTATGTAGATTTGTGTGAATACACCACAGTCAAGACACAGAACAGCCCCATCACAAGAATCCTTTTTGCTACACTTTTATAGCCACCCTCCTCTCTCCCCACTTCCTTCAACCCTGGCCAGCACCAATCCGTTCTTCATCCCCATAATTTTGTCATTTCAAAAATTTTATATAAATGGAATCATATTGTTCTAGGGTAAAAACATCACAAAGTTTAGCAAAGAAAAAAGCAAGGTTTTATTCAGCCTATATGCAAAGAGGTAAAAGTGGGAAAATAGACAAGCATGCTGCCACAGCCATGTCTGCCCAAGTCAAAGGAATATTACAGAATAGGCAAGAATGGGAAAACAGACAAGCATGCTGCCGCAGCTATGTCTGCTCAAATCTGAGGAATGTTACAGAATCATCAGTATATATTAACGTTACAAAATGGATAAAACCATTAAAAACTTCACGTTTTCACAGATTGGCTAAAAACTGATTTGAATTGTCTTTCTTAATAATCATTGGTACAGATTTCATTGGTCCAACAAATCTTCAATTCACTAAATGCTAATAGAAAAAGATAAAAGAGTGGAAAGTCTTTTGTGCTCTGTTTATGATTAGTTTATGTGAAAGTCTCCCTAAAAGATGTTTTCCAAGATTGTCTTAGCTATCATCTTTATACCTCAGGGCCCAGTTGATGTGTCCTTTGAGTCCTTGTGAGTTTAGCTCAGCTGCGTCACATTTTAGGACAGAGGACAATAACTTCAATATTATCTCCTAAATCAGTATAGTATGTAAACTTTTGAGGTTGATTTTTATCACTTGGTATAATTCCCTTCTGATCCATCCAAGTTGTGGGTATCAATTGTCTATTCCTTTTTATTGCTGAGTAGTATTCCATGGTATGAATATGAGTTCACATTTTTAAAATGTTTGGCATGTTGTATTTCTTCTGGTCATTTTCCATTCACATGGAAAAGGAAGCTATGCACTATGGGAAAATAATTGGAGAGATACAAAGGAGGGAAAGGGGCAAAAAGCAAAAATGGTACTGGAGGAAGCAGTGTGAGGCAGTGGGCAAGAGTGAGTTGGAGCTAAGTGAAAGCGGAATGGAGATGCAGCAAGCTAGTACTCCTCACTGCTTGCTTGCTGCTGCTACTGACTCTCCCCGAACCTCTCTCTAACCCACTACCCCCAACACAAAAACAAAAAATTCCACTCCCTCCTTAGCTTTACCTCCCAAGACATTACAGCCACTGTATTGCTAAGTCCTCCAAACCCTCTACTTCAATTACATTAATTTCATTGACCTGGGGTCAGAGACTGTGTCTTATTTAGCTTTTTTTTTTTTTGTAATCCCAATACTTGGTATAATGTCATGTATGTGGACAGTTGTCACTGTGAAATGAATGAATGAATTGCTCCAACACTAATAGGGAAGGACCCATAGATAAGAAGAAATGAGAGAGAAGGATAAAGGGAAGTGCAAACTTTCCAGAGACCGATTTAGCCCAAGTATACAAGGTGAGAAGAATAAGTGAAAAGTGTGCTTGGTTTGTTTTCCTTTTATTTGCCACTCTCAGGGCCTATGGAATTTTTTTTCTAGCGGAAATATATTGTATATAAGGAGATACATTGCCCGTACACTAGAAAGTTAATTTATAAGCTCCTACTGAGGTCACCATTTCTGTCCCTGAGAAAAGCTTAAAGAATAAGACAGGACTTCTCTAGATTTTAGACAAAACTTTCTCAAATATACAAATTAAATTATTCATACATTATATAATACATATTGTTTATAAAATATGGAGCCCTGATGGCATAGTGGTTCAGAGCTACTGCTGCTAACCAAAAGGTCTACAGTTCAAATTCATCAGCCACTCCTTGGAAACCCTATGGAGCAGTTCTACTCTGTCCTATAGGGTCGCTATGAGTCAGAATCGACTCTACTGCAACCGGTTTATATGTTACAGTAAACTATAATTCTTTTTTTCTAAATGAATGAATGCGTACAACTCTCTGAGTCTCTGCTTTCAAGTCTTTTCGGTATATATACCTAAGAGTGGAATTCCTTGATCGTATGGTAGCTCTGGAGCCCTGGTGGCCCAGTGGTTAAGACCTACAGCTGCTAACCAAAAGGTTGGCAGTTCAAATCCATCAGCTGCTCCTTGGAAATCCTATGGGACAGTTTTATTCTGTCCTATAGGGTTGCTGTGAGCTGGAATTGACCCGGAAGTGAAGGATTTGGTTTTTTTTGGTTTGGTATGGTAGCTCTATTTTTAGTTTTTTAAGGAACAGCCACACTGTTTTCCACAAGGGCTGTACCATTTTGCATCCCCACCAGCAATGGATAAGGATTTCAATAACCCCACATCCTCGCCAACACTTGTTATTTTCTTTCTTTTTTTTCAATTGTAGCCATCCTCCAAAACCAAAAAAATCCATTGCTGTCTAGTGGATTCCAACTCACAGCAACCCTATAGGACAGAGTAGAACTGCCCTGTAGGGTTTCCAAGGAGTGCCTGGCAGATTCGAACTGCCAACCTTTTGGTTAGCCAGCCATAGCTCTTAACCACTGTGTCACCAGGGTTTCCTTAGCCATCTTAGTGGGAGTGAAATGGTATCTCATTGTGGTTTTGATTTGCATCTCTCTGATGGCTAATGACGTTGAACATCTTTTCATGTGTTTGGTGGCCATCTGAATATCCTTTTTTGTGAAATGTCTATTCAACCCCTTTGCCCATTTTATGATTAGGTTATTTGTCTTTTTGTTGTTAAGTTGTCAAAATTTTACATATGTTTCAGTTGTTAGATTCTTATTGGATATATGGTTTCTGAAGATATTCTCCTGGTCGGAAGCTTGTCTTTTCAGTTTTTTCGTAAAGTCTTTTAATGAACAGAAGTTTTTCATTTTTATGCGATCCCATTTATCTATTTTGTCTTTTGCTATTTGTGCTTTTGTTATTACATTAGATAATCCATTGTTAAAAGCTAGGCCTGACAGTGTTGCCCCTGCATTCTCTTCTAAGACTTTCATGTTTTAGTTTTCACATTTAGGTTGCAGAGTCTTTTAGTGCCTTTTTATAGTTCTAAAACTTTAATAACTTAGGTTGTTGATGTAGCACAGAAAGAACCTAAAAAACACACTGAAAGTCCTAGTAAATTATAATTCTTATAGTTTATATATAATTGTTTTTAAACTCTGTGTTTTGTCTATAGCTTCAAATGGGGCAAAACACCTAATCTGAAACGCTGACTGATGGCTAATTTCATTTTATATGCAAATTTGAAAGCTGATTTTAAAAACATAGTATTACTTTGTAATGGTGACTCAGGTGAAAGATTCTTAGAAATAAGAATCATTATTTTTCTTTGCTGAAAACTCTCAATGCTCAACAGAACACATAACATGAATGCCACTAGATTCTGTATTTGTTGAAATCCATGTTTGCTAATTATTAATAAAGTTGAATTCCTTAGAAAGCAGGTATTTCTTTTGACTGTTAAGATAAACTAAACTATGTTATTATAGGAAAACACTGTTTAAAGACAATTTTGTTGAATTTCATGTGCATGTAATCTCAACAACAAAATGATTTTAAAATGAAGATTTAAGTGAGCCTGATTGTAATTTGTTACCTTTTTCAAACACTTCAATTAGCATCACTTCAAATGAATCAGCCTGCCATCAATTTATACAATAGTTTTAGAAAAACATTAGTAATGTCTGGGGTTATACACTCATTAACAAGCACTGACTAGCTGGTGGGAAGTAATGATGTGTGGGATGTTTCTAGGGCCCTGAATGGCCAGAAGAACCTTGTACAGGCCCCTGCCCTGCAAGCAAAGCCATTCTCTGATGACAGCAAGAGACGGCATCACGGTCTCCTCCGGTGCAAGGTAGTCACACCTTACACAGTGTGTCTCCACTAATGGCCCTAGAGATTACAGAGGTCATATGAGGATGAACAATTTTTTATTTTAATAGTTGTATATTTATTTTAATGGCTATCTTTTATTTATGGCAAGTGATACTGGTTTTTAACTTATTAGAATTCTACAAAGTTTCGTTTAAAAAGTTTTACTTAAGTAAAAGAGTAAGTCAAGTTAAAGACAACACAAAGTTAAAAAAAAAAAGTGCTCATGGTACACATGTGTGAAGGAATGACTGAAATATTAGAGACACTCTGATTATTTCCCCAAGTCTCTTTCTCCATTGTGGCTTCTTCTAATGAAAATGATAATGTTTTTAATTGGTTCTGATCATACGGTACCTGTGTGTTATGGACTGAATTGTGTCCCTCAAAAAGATATGTAAAAGTCCTAACCCTGGTACCTGTGAAAATGACCTTGTCTGGAAATAGGGTCTATGAAGATATTATCAGTTAATATGAAGTCGTACCAGAGCAGGGTGGGTCTTAATCCCATCTGACTGGTGTCTTATAAAAGAGAACAGACATGGAGACAGATATAGGCAGAGGAAGGCCAGCCATGTGATGACCGAGGCAGCTGCAAGCCAAGGAACTCCAAGGATTGCCAGGAGTCACCAGAAGCTAGAAGAGAGGCATGGAACAATTTCTCTGAGAAGTTTCAGAAGGAATCATCATGGCCTATACCCTGATTTGTACTTCTAGTCTCCAAAACTATGATACCATTAATTTCTGTTCTTTTAAAGCCACCATTTGTGGTATTTTGTCACAGCAGCCCTAGGAAACTAGTACACTCTGCTTTATTTTAAGTCATCTCAAAGTAGGTGGGGAAGTAATCAGGCAACTAATCCACCCATCAATACAACTACAAGAAAACTGAAGAGACTTGCATCATGGAATTGAGATTAAGGAAAGCCCGAGGCCGTATCTCTTCATAAAGGGGACCTGGCCAATTAAATGGCCCTGGGTCTTTTGTCATGAATTGAAATCGACTTGAGGGCATTGGGTTTGGGGGTATATATATATATATATATATTTTTTTTAGGAAGGTAGTTGCCATGGACTGAATTGTGTCCCCCCAAAATATCTGTCAACTTGGCTGGGTCATGACTCCCAGTATTGTCTAATTGTGTAATCTGATGTGATGAGGTTATATGTGATCTCCTTATGTGTTGTAAATTCTATCACTGTGATGAGGTTATACTGATGAGGTGTACAAGATTAGACGGTGTCCTAATCCAATCTCTTTTGAAATATAAAAGAGAGAGGTGAGCAGAGACACATGGGAACCTCATACCACCAAGAAAGCAGTGCCGGGAGCAGAGCGTGTCCTTTGGACCTGAGTTTCCTGCGCAGAGAAGCTCCCAGACCAAAGGAAGATTGATGACATGGACCTTCCTCCAGAGCCGAAGGAGAAAGTAGACACCCTGAATTTGGACTTGTAGCCTACTGGACTGTGAGAGAATAAACTTCTCTTTGCTAAATCCATCCACTTGTGGTATTTCTATTAGAGCAGCACTAGATGACTAAGACAGTAGTCTTGTGTGATGTGCCAAGCGTGTTCTCCAGCAGGAGCATTCAGATAGAAAATTAGGTCATCGATTCAGTAACTTAAATGATACTTGAAGATAGCTGCATGCATTCATGTAAATCACACACTTGAAAATTACTCCCAAGGTATTCAAAGTAAAAATGGCCCTCTGATAAAGACACAGCACTGCTGAATTTGACTCCTCCTCCCCTTCTTTTCTTTCCCCTCCACCAACCTCCACCCCCAAGGCTTTACTCTGAACTGGAGAACTAAAATATATGAATAGGGAGACTAAAAATAAAACTTCTTTTCTTCATACTTCACGTTGAGATAGAGGCTTGAATATTTTTGATACATATTTTGAAAATGTGTTTTGTCATCAAACCAGGGGTCTTTGGGCCTGGACTCCTTTCACTTCAAGTTAGGCAAAGTGATTTGATCAATCAGGGCAGAGAAGGCTCTGCTCACCTGCTCAGCTCCACGATACAGGTCCATGTTTACTGAAGACTACAGACCTGAAATCAACAAACATGAAAATCTTTCAGAAAAATGCACCCATAGGGTCTCAAGCTGATCTGTATAAAACTCTAGCGCAGAAGAGAAATAGAACCCATCTCTTCTCGGTTCCTAATGACAATGCCCTTTCCCTAAGCTAGATAGCAAATAAGATGACTGTTATTTACCACAAGCAATACTACTAATTCAACCAGCCTGTGAGTTCTTAAAGGGCATTTTCTCATAGCTCCTAGCACAGATCCGAGTTGCTTGAAGCCCACTCTAGAACAGTGGTTCTCAAACGCTAGTGTATATCAGAATCACCAAGAGAGCTAGTTAAAATAGATTGCTAGGTCCTTGATTCATTGGGCCTTTGTGGGGCCTGAAAATGTGCATTTCTAACAAGTTCCTAGATGATACTGATGCTGCCAGTACAGGGACCACACTTTAAGAACCACTGCTCAATAGCTACTTGATGAATGGTTTGAGTGGTCTCTTGTGATCTCTTGTAATAGGGATTGTACTGTAGAAAGATCTGCAGTTTGGCAGTTAGCAACCAAAAGTCTGATATGCATAACCTTTAACCTAAGAGTTCTTTTCTAGGAATTGATCCTAGAAAACATATTTACATATTAGTACAAAGAAATATGTTACAAGGATACTTACCAAAGCATTTTTGTGATAATAAAAAAATTGGATGTAATTTAATTATACAACAATAAATACATTATGGTACATTTATACTCTGGGATATTATGCAGCATTTGAAACATGACATTGCTCAGTGTCTAAAATATATTGCCAAGTGAAAAAAGCAAAATCACAGTATAATCTAACTTATGTTGAAATAGTAAAGACATACATATATGCATAGAAAACATTTTGAAAGAAAACTCACTGAACTGTTAACAGTGGTTACAGCTGAGAAACAGGTAAGAGGGGTTGAGGGCGTGATGATGAAATCCTTTTTAAAAATCTGTGTACTTCTGCATTTTAACTTTATAGTGGATATGCAGTATTATATTATTTGAGTATTTAAAAATAGAAATAGCTCACAGGAAATGAAAAAATTGAAAGGCTTATTTTGTTAGTTATGTATTTTTTCATTACATGATATATACTGTGTCTCCATCTGTACTGTTTTCTGTTGAACATAAGAGGACAGGATCCTGTCTTTTTATTCCATCTATCCTTTAACATTACTCCAGGACTACAAAGACCTTGGATAAATAATATTTTACTGCCTGACTAAAACACCTTGTCCAGAGGCAAACTTATTTTAGGATATTCTGTTTCTCAGCCCACAGTGATAAAAACCTAAAATACAGCAATAGAGAAATTGGGAAGCAATAATCCATTTTACTTGTGGGAGTTTTTCTTGTTTCTGTTTGTTTTTCTTTGTAAGCTTCAGTCTCTTGAAATGTTAGAAATAGCCAAAGATATACAACTAGCACCTAGCAAGTTGCTTGGCATACAGTTGGAATTCAATAAATATATAGAATGAATTAATATAGCACATAAACCCATTGCTGTTCCGTTGATTCCGACTCATAGTGACCCTATAGAACAGAGTAGAACTGCCCCATAGCACATGGGGGAGGCCTAATGCTGCTCCTTGGAAACCCTATGGGGCAGTTTTATTCTGTCCTATAGGGTCGCTATGAGTTGGAATCAACTTGCTGGCACCTAGTTTGGTTTTTTGGTTTGAATGAGATGTTGTTGTTGTTAGGTTCCGTCAAGTTGGTTCCGACTCATAGCAATGCTATGCACCACAGAATGAAACACTGCCCGGTCCTGCGCCATGTTCACAATCGTTGTTATGCTTGAGCCCATTATTGCAGCCACCGTGTCAATCCATCTCGTTGAGGGTCTTCCTCTTTTTCTCTGACCCTGTACTTTACCAAGCATGAAGTCCTTCTCCAGGGACTGATCCCTCCTGACAACACAGCCAAAGTGTGTAAGACATAGTCTCGCCTTCCTTCCTTCTAAGGAGCATGAGATATTAGGTAAAAATACCTGTGACATGGACAATCCAAAGGAAATCAAAATGGGAAAATAATTCACTTGAATGTAATTAAAAATGTGTGTGTTCTCTGAACGACTCAAGGATGGGAGAGGAGGCTACTAGAATGCTAGATGTTGAGGTTAAAATAATAGTTAAAAGTGATGGATCCACATGGGGAAGAAAGGAACAAGAACAGCCCCCTCATCCCGTCTTAGCCATGTCCTCTCTAACCCCATCACCCTACTCCCCCACCCCCCAATTCCCTTCTCATTGTTGAAACATTGACAAATGGGTGGCAAAGAGAGATGGGAAAGAATCAGGAAAAAGAATTTAGGAGATGTATTCAAGGGAAATTTGACTCACAAATGGAGAGAAAATAATTTAATGAAAAAGTAAAACCAGAGGATTATGTCTTTCATTTTCACCACAGAAGCAAGTAGCATTAGATACTCTTTCAGATGTAAACCTTTGTCGGAAGTTTCGATCTAATAGTTTGCTACCGATTTTCAAGCCAACATTTGGAATTTCAAGAGGTTTGGGGAACCCCTTCCACATGACTTTCTCTTTTCCATTAAGCTTTCAGGGTCTCTTGAAATCCTATTATCCTAGATCTTGATACTGAATCACTCTAATCAGTTCATGTCAACAACTGTCCAAAGCTGACCATCAAATTTGCTGGTTTAGTCGTATTAAGCCTTTAAATAACGTAAAGTTCATTTTAATTTCCAACATGAATTGGTTCCTTAGTAAATCTGAAATTCAAAGGGGTAGTCGACTGGACAATAATCACAACACTGGGTGAATACATTGGCACTCTGTCTGAGTAGATCTTAGCACGTTACAAGTGGGAAATCTTTCTAATTCTCTCAACATCCTTCACATTAAAAAACAACAACAACCAAAAACAACTTGTAACAGTAAAATAAGGGGCTCTAGCGGTGCATTGGTTAAGCACTCGGCTGCTAACTGAAGGTCAACAGTTTGAACCCATTAGCCGCTCATGGAAGAAAAGATCTGGCGACTTGCTCCTGTAAAAGATTTACAGCCTAGGAAACTCTACGGGGGCAGTTATACTCTGTCCTATAGGGTTGCTATGAGTTGGGATTGATTCATAGGCACACATGACAATAACAACAGTAAAATGATCAGAGACTTCCTGCTGTTATCTGATGAATCCATGACAGAGATAAAACGAAGGTAACAATATCTTCACTTAGTTTGTTTCCCTTTCTGATTCTTTATCCGCATGTTTATCACAGTGTAGGCTCTGATTTAGTGCAATTTTGGTAAACATAAATGGATTATGGAATGTACTTTCATAATCCATATTGACAATGGCCATGTAGAGTTTGTAAACAGTATCATTATCAATACCACACTGAGTAAGGATACAAGCTTAATTAGAAATATCTGGCTGAGTCAGAAGTGATAGTGTTTAAAAACGTAAACAGTAGCCATGAAAATTAACATAGATTCTTAAGCTTAAAGGCCCCAAAAAAATGACTTATATAAAAGAAATAAGACTATGAATTAAAATCTCATTTATTAGCACTTGTTGAATCATCAAGGATTAGAGAATACTATAGTAACACAAATAGAAAATGTGCACCTTGATTCTAAAATCATCAGCACGTTTGTATGATGATAATGCATACTTCATGCAGAAGCATCACAATGGTTCTATTGAGACTATAAGAGATTAATTTTTTCAGGCTTATATATTGCTTATATTTTCTACAAGACTGGATAACATTAATTTCATCTTTATACATTACTACACTATCTGAATTTAGAAATAAACATTACTCTTTCATGATTTTCCTTTTAATATTAGAACAATGTGTATGTAAATATATATATAAAAAAAAAAAACAAAACCACTCCCGTCGAGTCAATTCTGATTCATAGTGACCCTATAAGACAGAGTAAAACTGACCCATATGGTTTCTAAGGCTGTAAATCTTAAACGACACAGACTGCCACACCTTTCTCCCATGGAGCGGCTGGTGGGTTCAAACTGCTTTAACCACTGGGCCACCAGGGCTCCTGTGTATGTATATAACTATAATTATAATAGACTTTTACGTATAGCACTTGATAAAGTCACTTAAAATATGTATGAATCTTTTTACTTAAAGTATCAAACTGCACAATTGTTGGGATACTGTCTTCCAAAGATGTATAGTCAACCTACTCTAGTAGGAATCTAAAATGTGCAACATAGCCTACTAACAATTTGAGGCTGAACAATATTTTAGAAACCAGCACCTTTCAAAAGCTCATTTGGAGAGACAAAAACAAAAATTCAAAACAAGATGCTGATGCCAAAGAGTACAAATCTTTCCTATAAATCTCAATTGTTATGTGAATTTTTCATAAAAAGGTCAAGTGGCTATTGACTTTGCTTTTAATACTCATCATGACCCCAAAGACATTTGAATGGAAATAGAGTGGGTGGAATCTTGTGTCAGCCTAAGAATGAGGCATAAGGAGTTCCATCCTGTCTTTGTCTCAGGAGGTCTAAGGGTGCTTCTTGCATCTTTACGACCTTGTTTCCTCTAACCCAAAAATTACAGCTCCAACTCCATTCATAGTAGCATTCTTTAGGGTCACCAAATAATTACTTCATTGACTTGGCTCTATTATGGTCTGTATAAAACTGACATTATTATGTGCCCGTTTTACAGTTCACCAACTCAGAAATACTTTGAGAAGTCATCCTCTAACACAGAAACACAGGAGAATGTTATCCTTTGTTTTATCACAAGTTAACAGATGATCAGTGCAACAGGAAAGATCTTAGGCTTTCTTGAAAAATGGATATAGGTACAATATAAGGTAATAAAACGCTCTAGCTAGAAATAAGACAATGGCACTCCAAATCCGAAAAAATAGCTTTAGTAAAGTAAGGATTAAAAAACCAAACCAAAACAAAACAGACTTTAGAACTTAGCAATGAGTCACAGTTTATGAAAAAGTAATGATAATGATGGTACTAACTACATGTTGTGTGTGTTGTGTGCTATTGAGTCGATTCTGATTCATTGTGACCCTATAGGACAGAGTAACTGTCTCAAAGGGTTTCCTAGGCTGTGAGAAGAATTGATGCCTTTGAATTGTGATGGTGGTGAAGAATATTGAATATACCATGGACTGCTAAAAGAACGAACAAATCTGTCTTGGAAGAAGTACAACCAGAATGCTCCTTAGAAGCAAGAGTGGCGAGACTACGTCTCACATACTTTGGACCTATTATCAGGAGGAATCAGTCCCTGGAGAAGGAAATCATGCTTGGGTAAAGCAGAGGGTCAGTGAAAAAGAGAAAGACCTTCAACGAGATGGATTGACACAGTAGCTACAACAATGGGTTCAAGCATAACAATGATTGTGAGGATGGTGCAGGACTGGGCAGTGCTTCATTCTGTTGTACACAGGGTTGCTGTGAGTCGGAACTGACTCGACGGCACCTAACAACAACAATAAAAATCTTTACAGGAGCAGATCACCAGGTCTTTTCTCCTTCAGAGCACATGGTGGATACAAACCACTGCGCTTTGGATGGTTAGCAGCCAAGTGCTTAACCATTGCGCCACCAGAGAAACCTTAATTAATCAATTCTCTTCTAGAAAGAGAGTACCACTGTTACTTCCCTTTTTAAATGGTGATATCAGGCTGCCTAGTTATATATGAGTTAGGGCTACCAGTAATAATAATTGCAGTAACAAAATAATAAACATTTATTGGATGCTTATTACGTTCCTGGATGGCACAAAAGGTTAAGCTCCTGACTGCTAGCTGAAAGGCTGGCAGTTTGAACAGACCCAGGGGTGCCTTGGAAGACAGGCCTGGTGATCTGCTTCTGAAAGGTCACAGCCTTGAAAACTCTAGGGAGCAGTTCTACTCTGCACGCATTGGGTCACCATGAGTTGGAATCGACTCGTTTGCAACCAGCAATAGGTGCTGTACTAAAGTCTTACATGGTTTATCACTTTTAATGGTCATACTAACTGTCTTACATGGTTTATCATTTTTAATGCTCACAATAATTCGATGAATTAGGCAATTCCAGGATGTAGAGAGAAACAAGTTCAGAGATGCTACTGACATTTAAAATATTCAGAACTCTGTTACTCACTAGATGAATTGTAGCTGTTGGGCTGATCCGACATGTTGTAAAATCAAGTTTTAAAAGGCAGTCTTATTTCCTGGCCATCACTGCTTCTGCTGACTGTGAAAACCTTACCTGATGGCATTTCAAGAGTGAAGGCATCCATACATTTTGACAGCAGTTCTTGCAGTTCCTCTTCCTCCAGCTCATCTTTTCTCTCTTGGATGTTAGTGGTCTCTTTCCTTTCAGCAGGTGCCAGAGCAGGACTACTCATTTCAGTAGAGACAAATTTGGGGGTTTCCGGCAGCAATCCCTGAGCACTGGGCAGGCTTTCCTTCAGTATCTTTTGGGCTTGGCTTTGTGTCCTGCTGCTTTGCACTGACCTCGGCTGCAAAATGGCTTCCGGTGGCTCTGGATTTTGTAGAGCATGCTCTGTACTTGCTCAGTGACTTCTGCTAACCATGGTGGGGTTAGGAAGAGTTTCCCATTCTGAGCCCTCCTCATTGATGTTCTTGATCTGGGAAGAATCTCCTTTCCTCCAAAATGTTTTAGCCAAAGAATGGTTACTCTTTGATGCCCTATTTTGACAGGAAGAAGATAAAGGATGAAGAGGCTGCAACACTGCCTAGATAAAGAAAATGTCGTTTAGGAGGAAATTAATATTTATTGCACTTTTTTCATAAATGCATTAAATTTCAATATTCCAATGGAAAATTTTAATACAAGACTTTTCTTTCTACTTTCTAAACATATTATTATAAATCTTATTTTACGCTGTTAATTCAACATCAACCTAAAACTCTCTACAAGAATTGGCACAGCTCAGATTCTAAAATATCACAAGGAATATCACTAGGAATTTGGGGAAATTCTATATTCTAAAAAGTCCAGGTTCTAGAAATATCATAAGGAATTTTGGAAATATCAACATATGTTGAATTCATAGATGAAAACTGTTACAACAAAATATGTTCATAATGATCTATGTAGCTAGGTATGTTGTGAGGGGTTTCATGATATGTTAAAACCAAAAACCAAACCCGTTGCTGTCGAGTCAATTCTGACTCATAGCAACCCTATAGGACAGAGCAGAACTGCCTTATAGGGTTTCCAGGGAGCAGCTGGTGGATTTGAACTGCTGACCTTTGGGTTAGCAGCCGAGCTGTTAACTACTGCACCACCAAGGCTCCATCATGATATGTTATAAAATCTAAGGGGGTATGTTCCCTGTAAAGCTCGGTTGTCAAAGTGTGGTCCATAGACCCCCTGGGTGAGTCTCAAGACTGTTTCAGAGGTCTGTGACATCATGATTACTTTCATAAGAACACTGAGATGTTATTTGCCTTTTCATTGTTTTGACATTTGCGCTGATGTTGAAAATGCAAGAGTAAGTAAAACTGCGGGTGCCTTAGCACAAATCAAGGCAGCATCAGCAAACAGTGCTAATAGTCATGCTGTTCTTCACCACCATGCAATTGTAGTTAAAAAAAAAAAAAAAGTGCCAGTTCCACCCTTGATGGAGTAGTAAGTTATTAATTTTATTAATAATAGCACATATCTTTTTAATATTGTGGGTGATGAAATGGAAAGTATGCATAAAACACTTCTGATGCATAGTGAAATACAAAACTCGCCACGAGGAAAAGCGTTTGTGTGAAAGAATGACTGACAAACTATGGTTATTCAGACTTGGGTATTTGGCAGACCTATTTTCACAAAAATGAGCAAAGTGAGACTGTCACTGCAACAAAAACAATTAATGGTATTTGCTGCAAATTATAACAGTTGAGCTTTCATGCAAAAGTGAGAATTTTATCAAACTTGTATCTGCCACCCTAAGCTTGAAAGCTTTCAAATTCTTAAAGACGTTTCCGGTGAGATTAATGGTGATACTAATGAAGGTGATTTTTTAAATATGCTGTATAACAAAATGGGTCAGTATTAGGAAGTTCGGTGTAGGTCAGCGAACCAAGATTTTCTAAATGATCAATGCATGTTGCTACAAAATCATGCATGGGTAGAAGATGCATTCAAAGAACACAATAGAATACTGAGTTTTATTAAAACAGTGTGAAACAGATATGGTTTCAGTTTCCACATTGTAACTATCTTTTAAGGAACTACCATTTGTCATGTTCTAGTGTAGGACCAAAGAAGAATGTCACCAATTTTCTGAAAAGGCTACTAAAATAAAACTAAACCCATTGCTGTTGAGTCAATTTCGACTCACAGCGACCCTGTAGGACAGAGTAGAACTGCCCCATAGGGTTTCCATGGAGTAGCTAGTGGATTCTAACTGCCAACCTTTTGGTTACCAGCTGAGCTCTTAACCACTGTGCTACTAAAATATTCCTTCCTCTTTCAACTGCAAATTTGTGTGAGGCCAGATTTTGTTCATGCATTTCAACCAAAACAACATCTTGCAACAGATTAAATGCAGAAGCAAATATGAGACTCTGGTTGTCTTTTATCAAGCCAGACATTAAAAAGATTTATAAGAATGTAAAATAATGCACTCTTCTCATTACGTTTTTTTAAAAAAAAAAATAGGTAGTTTAAAAAATGTTATATATATATATATACACACATAATATATATGCACATATATATAATGGGTTTATTATTTTTATTTTAAAATTAATGAATGAAATATTAAATAATTTCTCACTTTTAATTTTGATTATGGTAAATAGTGATAAATAGACCCCACAGAAGCAAAAACTCCTTGGGGTCTTCAAGAATTTTTAAGAATGTAAAAGATCCTGAGACCCAAAATTCAGGAACCAATGCTGTGAAGAACCTCTTCAAGCTGCAGCGCCCCCTTGGCTGGAAGACTCAGGTCTGACTTCCAGGTAGTCCAGATGGCCAGTGTTTCACACATTTGATACCTGCAGGTCCTCTCTCATCTGCTGTAGTTTGGTCCACAGACTATCCTGGCTGGTTGTGAGCTGGTGAATCTTTGTTTCAAATCTGCGATTCTTTTCTTCTTGGGAGGCATATATTGCTTGCAACTTGTCTTTGCATCGGTTTAACTGTTTTTTAAAGAACCTGCAAAGAGAAGGAGTTTGAGTGGGTTGGAAGGGCAAGAGATCAGCACACTAACTAGCACCCTAGCAAGATGTACTCTATGTCTTCCCTTTGGGAGCAGATGCTAGGAGAAGCCTGCACCTTGATTATTATCTGACATTGATCAATATCATGTTAAACTGTTTGGCTGTTCACTATGCACCCCTGTCTTTTCTGTCCATTATTACATAATTCCACTAAGAATTGTACTGGCTGTAGAGGTGTTTTAGAAAGCTCATCTCTGCGTGCTATGGATTACTGTTGACAATGTACATTTGATGGCTACTTAAATTTGAATATTGGCTTTATTCATTTTCATTTTGTCTAGACACACTCATGTACATATATTATACATGTCACGGATAACCACTTAATATTTGTCAAAGACCACAGGGAAGGAACAGTGATTCAATTCAGGAATTGCGGATTTTGGGTTTTTCTTTGCAAGTCTAGTTGTCCATTGGTTTAAGAAAGAACCAAGCAGTCTGGATAATTCTTTATTTTATTTTATTTTTGGGGGATAATTCTTTAAAAAGGCAGATCATGTTACTCCTCTGCTCAAGGCCCTCAGTGGCTCCCCTCCTCACGCAGAGTTAGCTGAAGTTCTTACAGAGGTCAACAAGGCCCTAAATGATGACCCTAGAAGATGGCTATGACGACTCCTTGCATCTCTGATTTTATCTTCTGCTTCTTCCTCCTCATTCGCTACCCTTCAGTCACATAGAGCTCTTTGCTATTCTTTGAACAGCCCAGGAATGTTCTCCCCTCAGAGTCTTTGCACTTTTGGTTCCCTCTGCCTGGAACCCTCCTTCTTCATCCAGGTTCTTGCTCAGCAAACTCTCTCACCTCCTTCAAATCTTCACTTACATGCCAAATTTATAGTGAGGTATTTCCTGACTACCTTATTTGAAATCATAACCCCCAACCTCGCCCCTGGCACCTGCCATCCTCTTCCTTGCTTGACTTGTGTCCATGGCCTTTAAAATTCCTAATTGCTACAGATTTTGAAGAAAGATTTTGGCTTAGTCTCAATCCCTCAAACTTCTGGACAGTCACACTATCTATCATACTATATCTTACTTATTATTTTACTTATATACTACTTAGGCTTATTTACTTTTAGACCTCTTTAAAGTGTTAAAAAGCAAAGATGTCACCTTGAGGACTAAGGTACACCTGACCTAAACCATGGTATTTTCAACTGCCTCATCTTCATGCGAAAGCTAGACAATGAATAAGGAAGACTGAAGCATTGATGCCCCTGAATTATGGTGTTGGTGAAGAATATTAAACATACCATGGACTGCCAGAAAAATGAACAAACCTGTCTCAGAAGTATAGCCAGTGCTCCTTAGAAGTAAGGATGGCGAGACTTTGTCATACGTACTTTGTACATGTTATTAGGAGGGACGAGTCCCTGGAGAAAGGACATCATGCTTGGTAAAGTAGAAGGTCAGCGAAAGAGAGGAAGACCCTCAATGAGATGGACTGACACAGTGGCTATAACAATGGGCTCAAGCATAATGATTGTGAGGATGGCGTGGGACTGGTCAGTGTTTTGTTCTGTTGTACATAGGGTTACTATGAGTCAGAACTGACTCAACGGCACCTAACAACACTTGCTTTTGGTCTCTTTATTCCCATAAGAATATAAGCTCCAAAAGGCAAGTATTTTTTTTTTTTTATTTTGTTTATTGCTGTATGCCCAGGCCCAGGCCTAGAACAATCCATGGCACATAGTATGTGTACAATCAAAATTGACTAATTAGAGTTTTATTCTTTGATCAGTGTTGTTGGTATATTTGTGGAATTTGTGCACATCAGTCCTCTAATGTGAAATGCAACATTTCTGAATATTCCTAACTGCTATAGAGTTTTAAAGAGGTCTTGGAATTTAGTTGGAGACCCATTCAAACAGGATTCCCCTGAAAGACAGCCCTCAAACATCCAGACAATTACACTCAGGAAATACAGAAATCTGACTCAAAATATCTTGATCATAATTGGAGTTTCAAGCAGATCTTTATGACAGGTTTTTCAGAAAGGAGTCATCCCAGGGGTTTTACATAGCAGATAACACAGAAACATTCTCAGAAGACCTCTCTAGACAGTATTCTCTATACCTAAAGTTTTGAGCTTGCTATAGCCACTAATAATACACTTTCCTTCCCCCAAGTTGTTCACCACACCCATTACTCTGCCGTTTTTTCCCCCTTTGTTTAAAGGAGAAATTCTTATGGAGTATTTCTGAAAAACGCAGTTCACTTGGTGCCAATATTTCTAGCAACAGGGAGCTCAATAGTATCCAGGCAAATCTCCACTGTTAACAAATAGTTTGAATTATTTTAAAATAATTCCCAGGTGGCCTGGAGTCTGCCTTTCTAGCTTTTTATCTCTTTATGTGTTTATTCCTGTATAAGGAATATTTTTTCAATGTTAAAAAGAAGAGCATGGTAAAATCTTTGTAGAAAATACTCCTGTAAAAGTAAAAGGAAGTGCTATTGATTTGTCTTTGCTGCTTTATTTGGGAATACACATTTGGTCCTTACCTTCTTTCCTTATGGAGAGCATTAATGGATTCATGAGTCTTCCACAATTCGTTCCTAATGCTAACTATAGTCTAGAGAAGCAAGAAATAGAGAAAGTAAGTTTGTGGTTTGAATTAAATCCACATTCCTCGAAATTTGTCATAGGAACACATTTTAAACAATGATTTTTTTTCAAAGATGCAAATGTCTATTTTAAAAAGTGACTGGTGTTTGTGGTTATATCCATGTTCAATGATGCAGATATTCATATGCTCAAAGTTCAGTCACATGATCTAATTTGGACACAATAAATCTCTTCAAAAAAACTAAAGCATAAAGAAATGCTTTAGGTTTTAAAAATAAGGTACAATAATGTTTCGCCTGAGCTAGGTTGCTGCCCCAAACATCTGTTTCCCCAAAGGCATCTATAAAAAGAAATTGCAGCATTATTCACAACAGCAAAAAGGTGGAAACAATTCAAATGTCCAAAACAGATGAATGCATAAACAAAATGTGTTATATGCATACAATGGAATATTATGCAGTCATAAAAAGGAATAAGGAACTGATGGATTGCTACACATGATGAACCTTGAAAACATTATGCTAAGTGAAATAAACCAGTCACAAAAGACCACACTATATATCTTCTCATTCATATGAAAGTCCAGAATAGGGAAATCTATAGAGACAGAAAGTAGGTTAGTGGTTATAAGAGGCTGGCAGGGAGGAAATGTGGGATGTGGGGGGTGATAGCTAAAGGGTACAGAGTTTCTTTTTGAGGTGATAAAAATTTTCCAAAATTAACTGTGGTGATGGTTGCACATATCTGTGAATATATTAAAAATTATTGAATTGTACACTTTAAATGAGTGAATTGTATGGTATGTGAGTTGTATATAGATAAAATAAATCAGTTGCCATGGAGTAAATTCCAACTCATAGTAACCCCATGTGTGTCAGAGTAGAACTGTGCTCCATAGGGTTTTTAGTGGCTGATTTTTTTTTATTGTGCTTTAGATGAAAGTTTACAGTGCAAATTAGTTTCTTATTCAAAAATTTATACACAAATTATTTTGTGACATTGGTTGCAATCCCCACAATATGTCAGCACTCTTCCCCTTTCCACCCCGGGGTCCCGTGTCTATTTGTCCAGTTTTCCTGTCCCTTCCTGCCTTCTTGCCCTTGCTTTTGGACAGCTGTTTCCCATTTGGTCTCTTATACATGATTGAACTCGGCAGCTGGCCCAGGCTCCTGGGGTACCATGTCCCAGCTCTCGTCCCACAGGTCAGGATAGGAGATTGGATTTCACTACTCAACATTTATAAGCAGCTGCAGCCACACTCTGCAACTTTCCCTCCTCCCTGCAAATGATCTGTAGAAGGACTGACCAATGGGAGGAACAGTCTGAAAGAAGAAGAGAGAGAGCAAGGAGAAGAAACCGAGCTATAAAGTCACATTCTCTGGTAGTGTGCAGCCTCTGTGGCCCCTCCGAGTGCCATGTCTCTTCGTTTAAATCCTCCAACAGCTTCTACATGCATAGCACAGCTTTTAAATCAGTGAACTTTATATTACTAATATGAAAACATATCTTTAAAAGGTTTTTTTTTTTTTTACATCAATGTTATCATGTTATCATATGGTAATTGTCTTAGTTATCTAGTTGCTGCAGTAACAGAAGTACCACAAGTGGATGGCTCCAACAAAGACAAATTTATTCTCTCACAATCTAGGAGGCTAGAAGTCCAAATTTAGGGTGTCAGCTCCAGAGGAAGGCTTTCTGTCTCTGTTGGCTCTGGGAGAAGGTCCTTGTCATCAATCTTCCCCTGGTCTAGGAGTTTCTCAGTGCAGGAACCCCAGGTCCAAAGGATGCACTCCTCTCCTGTTTCTTCATTCTTGGTGGCATGAGGTCCTCCTGTCTCTCTGCTTGCTTTTCTCTTTTATATCTCAAAAGAGATTGACTCAAGACACAACCTAATCTTGTAGATTGAGTCCTGCCTCATTAACATAACTACCTCTAATCCTGCCCCCTTAACGTTATAGAGGTAGGATTTACAACACATAGGAATATCATATCAGATGACAAAATGGTAGATAATCACACACTACTGGGAATCATGGCCTAGCCAAGTTGACACACATTTTTGGGGGACACAACTTAATCTACAACATTCCACCCTTTGCCTCCCCCCAAATTAATGTCCTTGTCACATGTAAAACACATTCACCCCATCATATCATAGCAAAGGCCAAATCAACTCCAAGTCCAAAATCCAAAAATTCCTCTTGATCTGTGAAATCTAGAAAACAAGTTATCTGCTTCCAAAGTACAATGGTGGAACGGGCACAAGCTAGATGTTTCCATTACAAATAAGAGAAATTAGAAGATATTTTTGATTTACTCTCTTTGAGTGCTCATGCCCAAGCAAGTCAGCAGAACACATTACATTAGCT